GGGGAGGGAGCACACAGCCCACACACCAGCCTGGACAGAGGCACCTGGAAGGCTCTCTTAGTCTTTAGAAAGTTCTAGAATCAGAGAGACACAGCCCAGGGCAGGAGGCAGGTCTCTGGTGGAGAAAAGGGATATGTGATCCTGACCTGGGTGGAGGCCACGTGACTCAGAAAAGCTGGGGTCAGGCCTCAGACACAGTGGTTGTGGACAGCGCACAAGGCCTGCAGGGCCCAAGGGAACCGCTGATGGGCTATTTCACAAGGGACTCCCAGAACCCCAGGAGAGCCTGCACCCCTAACTGTCCCTGAGAGGAGGGGGGTCCCTCTGGTACCTGACCTGACATCCAGGGGGCTCCCTCCCTGACCCAAGGAGGGGTGTCTGACACTGACCCCCTGTGCTGTCTCCTTGTAGGAACCCCAGCCCCGGGTAGAGGGGGCGGCCCCCCGAGGCCCCTCGTACCTGCGCGCTTCAGGGTCTCCTTCCCTTTTTCCAGGTACATGAGCAGAGAGTCCACACACTCCCCCTCCAGGTAGCTCTTCTCAAGCTCTGCCCAACCCGCCGCCGCCTCCCACTTGCGCTTGGTGATCTGAGCCGCCATGTCGGTCGCGATCCAGGAGGTCAGGTCCTCGTTCAGGGCGATGTAGTCGGCGCCATCGTAGGCGTGTTGATGGTACCCGCGGAGGAGGTGCCCATCGGGTCCCAGGTCGCAGCCAGAAAAGTACTGGTAGGTGTGAGACCCTGACCCCGCCCCGAGGTCAGCCCCGCCCCGCCCGCCCCGTCTTCCTGAAGGAGCACCAGGCTGGTGCTCTGAGCTCCACTTCACCCAGAATATGCCAGGCATCCCATCAAAGCTGTGGGAGCTTTTATGAGTAAACTAGAGGCCCAGTGCACAAAATCTGTGCATGGGAAGGGCGGTCCATCAGCCCCCCTTCACCCTCTCGCAATCAGGGATGCCTCAGGGGATGTCTGACTGCCAATTTAGGCCTGAGCAGGATCCTGCTCAGGGCTAAATTGGCAGTGGGACATCCCTCTCCAATCTGGGACTGCTGGCTCCTAACCACTCGCCTGTCTGCCTGCCTGATTGCCCCTAACCACTCTGCCTGCCTGCCCTATCACCCCTAACCACTTACCTGCCTGCCTCATCACCCCTAACCTCTCTGCCTGCCTGCCCTATCACCCCTAATCACTCTGCCTGCCTGCCCTATCACCCCTAACCACTTACCTGCCTGCCTCATCACCCCTAACCACTCTGCATGCCTGCCTCATTGTCCCTAACCACTCTGCATGCCTTCCTGATCGCCCCTAACCACCTCTGCCTCAGCCCCCCCTGCTGCAGCTTCATCTGGGAGGTCGTCTGTAATGATGCCCAGAAGGTCGTTTGACTGTCCGGTCTAATTAGCATATTATGCTTTTATTATTATAGGTAACAAGGGTCCCTCAGATGCAGCCCTAAGATGGACATGGGCGGGTTCAGTGAGTAACATCCATCAGAGGCAGGGTCTTCATGCCCCTGTAGAAGCCTGACGCCATTACCAAGTACAAGCAGAGAGACTCCAGTTTTTTAAAAATCCCAGAGTCACCAAATGTCCTTTCCCTTCAGGAGCAATGGGTGCAGCTTATGAAACTGCAGTGCAGGCCGCACGGGAAGGGGACAGTGAATCCCCATCACCCTCAGCTCCTGCATCTCCAGGTCTGTTCCTCCCCTCACCTCCCCCCTCGCTGGCTCAGGACACTGGCACCCCCGGCATTGAGTTCTCAGGACCCCATTCCTGTGACACAGGATGGTGACAGGACCATGGGGAGGAGCCCCGGGCAGGGGGTGGGAGCTCCGGCCTCTGGACCACACATCTCCGACCTGGTGTCAAGGTCACTCAGGAGTGAGCTCAGTGCCTCCTGGGGATGTTGCTTCCCACTCTGCGCCTCTGCTTCCTCCTGGGAGAGAGGAACGTGGACGTTACTACAGATCAGAGGTCAGGGGTGCTGTGAGCACCATGTGCCCTTCACGCTCACTGTGCTCACACGGCTGGGACATGTGAGCCCTCACACACAGTTCATAGGAGGAGCAGAGGCCACGGTGGTGGGAGATGTGACTGGTTTCGTGGTTGGATCATCTGTGGCGACCTGGGATGAGAAGATAAAAAATTACAATGTCCAATGGGAAGAACAGATCTGGCATGTTGCACCAGGCAAACTATTTGACAAAGAGAGATGATCTTTCTTGCAATTTCCCTTTGCTGCCTCACACGCACAAAGCAACTCTCAGCCTCACACAATAGGGAACACAGAGAGAAATGAGCCCCCAAATCTCCCAGGGATCCGCAGACAATTGCAGCCCAAGGCAGGATTTCAGGAGGAAACACACATGGTCCTGACATCACCGGGCCAGTGTAGCTCAGTGGTTGGGCATCCACCCATGCACCAAGGGACGGCCAGTTCCATTCCCAGTCAGGCACATGTCTGGGTTGCAGCTCAGTCCCCAGTGGGGTGTGTTATGGAGGCAGCAGATGTGTCTAATCAATGTTTCTATCTCTCTCTCCCTCTCCTTCCGCTCTCTTTAAAAATCAATGAAACATATATTTTAAAGTGGTATTTATGTCATGTTATTATACCACAGACTACAATTCTGGGTGAATGTCTGTTTGTGTGTGTGAATGGACCTTATTTTATGTCAGAATTTTAAAGTAATCACCCTAATTCTACACATCAATTTTACTATGGTTTTCACACCCAAGCCTCAAGCTCAGTCAGGTGAGAAGATAAGCAGAACCTTCTGCACGTGGCTGAGCAGCTTAGTGGCCCTGGCCGTCCTACCCTTGGCTCAGATCCCACAGGGAGCCCCATGCTCAGGTCCCTCACTGTCGGGGACTCTAGGACACAGAGAGGTGCAGGAAGCCCAGCATTGGCGGGAATCCCGCCCTGGGACACCCACAGCACATGCCCCCCCCGCCCCCGAGCCCAGCCCAGCAGAGCCAGCAGAAGCTGCTCAGACACAGGTGGGGCAGCACCTGTCCTGCCCGATGGGACGACCCACCCCAGTTCCATGTCCCCTCCTGGAATCTCCCTCCTCTCCTGATTTCTGCCCTGAGATAAGAGACAGGGTCTGGTCTCTTCCCCTGGCTCCTGGCCCTGAGCTCCTGAAACCCTGGGCTTCTCCTGAGTGACAGGTGCCTGTGGGATGCTAATGAGGTGGCTCTTGGCTGAGGATCTGGAGGCTTCGGACGAGCCGGGTTCCCTGAGCCTATAGTTATAGGGACAGGGTTCCTGGACCTTATGTTCCCACAGAGATGCCATTATCATGTCACCTGAGGCGTAGGGGACACTCTCTGTGTGGAGAGTCGAGGACATCTCCAAAGAGGAGTGACTTGATCCCCACTCAAATATCTCCCAGCCACTGCTGTGATTATTGGTAATTTGGTCATTAATTTGTCCAATAGAGAAGGGAAACCCCGGGGAGAAGGGGAGTTCCTGACACTCCTGAGTGGGCCTGAGGGTGAGTCACTGAGTGAGCTGGAGGACTCCTCACTGTCCTGACCAGCAGAGGCATTCTGACACAGATCCCATTGTGTGGGAAGCCAGCCCCATGGATTCCTGCGCCCCCACCGGGTTTGTGGGAAGCCAGCCCCAGACCTGCAGGATAATGTCCTACGTCTTGTACATCTAGACCTTCCTTCCTGAGGGCTGTCCTCCTGGTCCACATGAGCAGCTGAACGATGGGCAGGAAAAGGTGTCTGTTCCCTGTGGACGGGTCTACGTTCCAAGTCAAAGCTGTTCCCTGAGCTGAACTGAAAACCAAGGCTGCGTCATGTTCTTCCTCCTCCATTCATTGCACAATCACACACCATTCCCAAGTGGGCACCGTCCTCAGGGATCCCCTGGTCCCAAGGTCAGGCTGACACCAGCATGGGTGCAGGCTGAGCATCTCCACTGGGGCAGGAAGCTGGTCTCTCTCCTCAGGGAAATGCCACGGTCCTTCCTATGGGGGCCCCAGGGATGTTAAGCATGGAGATTGTCCCAGGTGAGTGGTGCTAACCCGCTCAGAATCCTTGGAGTCCCTAATGTCTACACGACCTGGAGACCAGGAGACCATGATGTGCTTCCTTAGTCACCCACAGAGTCCTGCTCTTTGGTGACTCACTACACAACCACTATATTTCTTCTTCTTCTTCTTCTTCTTCTTCTTCTTCTTCTTCTTCTTCTTCTTCTTCTTCTTCTTCTTCTTCTTCTTCTTCTTCTTCTTCTTCTTCTTCTTCTTCTTCTTCTTCTTCTTCTTCTTCTTCTTCTTCTTCTTCTTCTTCTTCTTCTTCTTCTTCTTCTTCTTCTTCTTCTTCTTCTTCTTCTTCTTCTTCCTCTTCCTCTTCCTCTTCTTCCTCCACTTCTGCTTCTGCTTCTGTTTTGAGGTTTTACCCTGGAAAGAATTATTCTTGACATACTGACAGGATTCAGGGAAAGTAATAATTAGGACAGACAGAGAGATACCCTCAGAATCTAAAATTGAGAAAGAACCAGATCAAATAGGAAATTGGGTGAAATTACAAAGATAGAATTTTAAAAATAGATGAAAAGATGAAGGATCACATGCCCAGACAGACGTGGACAAATCCCATGGATACAGTGGATTGTCACAGGGTGAAGGTGGGAACAACACCCACAGAACACTCCAGTTCTCAGTGGACCCTCTTCAATTCTATTTGTTCACACACTGCCCCCATCTCGACTCACTCCTAACTAGATTGTCACCACAGGTGAGTTAGGTCAGCTTTTGGGAGAAGGGAATGTTACAATGACCTCCGCCCTGTAACCTGGCTCTGTTTCCACATTATGTCCCATTCTCCTTCCTGTGGCTCTTGTGGTTGTAGCATATTCACTCTCAGGGCTAAAAGGGTTCAAGTCTATGACCACACCACACTCCTCCTCTACTGATCATGAGAATTTGTCTTATATGCAGATTTTGCAAACTGTACAGCTATGAATAAGTTCTTCATATGTTTTCTCACACATTTGTGTGAGTGTCTATTGGGGATATAACCAGGAGTGGAAATGCTGGGGCATTGGGTGAGTGAATGACTGGATGCAGTGAGAGCTGCCAAGCCATTTTCAAAGTATTTGAAAGAACTTACTCTCCCACTAGGTATTTATGGGAGATACAGTGAGTCCAAATTCCTGCTAACAATTGATTTTGTCTATTTCATTTTTACTATCCTGGGAGGTGGGCAGTAATATCACATTGTGGCTGAACTTGAATTTCTCCTCTGACTAAATTTGTTGAGAAATTTTCATAAATGTATGGACCATGTAAACATCCTCCATAGGAGGTGGACTGGACTCTTGTTCATCAGTGAGTGGGACTCTGGTAAGGTGCCAGTATCCTCAACTATTGGGGCACTCTTACTATTAATGGGTCTGTGGGCAGAGACCTGTAGGGTAAGAGAAAATGTCTGGTCTTTGACACTGGATCCTGGCACTGAGCTCCTAAAATCCTGGGCATCTCCTGAGTGACAAGTGTCTTTGGGTTGCTGATGAGATGGCTCTTGGCTGAGGTTCCTGGAGGTGTCAGGGTGGGGGCTGGTCCCCAGAAAGACCAAGCTGAACAGAGGGTTGGAACGTTCAGGCCCTAGAAGGAGGCAAGAGCAGGAGGAGCCTGAAAATGCATCTCTCCAACCACAGAGTACTGTGTGCAGGGACCCCTGGGCCTGCGGGACAATGACAGGTAACATGTACCCTGTTGCTTTCAGACGGGGGACAACCAGATAAGTACACCATAGCTCACACATGAAAACAGTAACAGGTATAATATCTACAAACGCAAAGAAACAACAAACACCCAGAAGATGGGTGCTGGAGTCCCATCCAGGCCTGACCCCAGGCTGACCAACCCCAGGAAGCCCTCACTGTTCATGGTCCTGGAGATGCGCTGCATTAGGACACATGTCCAGGCCTCAGTGATGTCTGAGTTCCAGTGACCACAGGTCCTGGTGGGACAAGGTTCTACTGAGGGACAAGGCCAGAGGAGCAGAGAGGTGACCCCGCCGAGGAGTGACCACGTCAAAGCCCACGATGCACTGAGCACCACCTGGGCACAGGCCCTGACCACACTCGGTCTTCAAAACATCTCCTGTCCACACCTGGGAAAGCTCAGCACAGCAAACACATGAGTTCTGGAAAGTTCTTGGTGCTTATATTTATTTCCCCTCAAAATTTACAATCTTCTCCTTGAATTTACCCACCAACCCTTCATGGCAAGAAATTAACAAAGTCACCTCCACAACCTCATTTCAATGCGGAAAAAACAGCTTGCAGTTCAGACCATGAGGAAGTAAAGACAGAGATAGTGAGGGCCCAGCCCGCCTCTGCTGAACCAGAAAGTGTGGGAGCAGGGCTGGGCCAGCCTCCTCTTCAGAGGTTCTTGATCAGGAAGTGGGAGCATGAACACATCTTCCATCACTCAGTCCCCACAAGGCAGCTGCCTCACGCTGTAGAGGACAATCATCATGAACAGACTCAGGTCAGTGGCTATAACTGGTGACATTCTCAAAACTTTACTTCATGCTCACAGTGTCCCACAGACTCCCCACCACCCAGTCCTCCCCTCTGCCCACCCCTCCCCACGGCAGGGTCTCACCTCTAGAAGCCGAGAGAGACACATCAGAGCCCTGGGCACTGTCACTGCCTGAGGGGGACACACCAGGACAGGACGGGGTCAGAGCCCCAGGGCAGGAGACTAGGAGGAACTATGGGGGGGGGCATGGCTCCCATCTGCACTGTCACAGGGTTTCAGGGGTCACCCCCCATACTCACTGGCAGCCTGAGAGTAGCTCCCTCCTTTCCCACCTGCGGGAAGAAAACAACCCATGAGAGACCAGGGAGGAGGCAGGGCCATGAGGTCCTAAAGGAAGCCCTAGCCCTGGGCCCCAGAGAAGTTTCCAGAACCCTGTAGACTCAGGAAAGGATCAGGAAACCTGAGGGAAATGCATGTGTGGGGACTGGACCCACCGCCCTCTTGGAGGTCTGTGCTCAGCAAGGACCTGCCCTCTGACCTGGGACTGCTGGGAACGGGGTCCCCACCACCAACTCCCACGGGCCTCACTAAAGAGTAAGTGTGAGCACAGGGAGCCCCACACTGGCCATCACACCATGGGGATAATGCTTCCCATGAATGAGGCGGGGCACACGTCTACCTGGGCTTGAACCCCCAGGGGGACAAGACACTCAGACCCCACCCCTGCCCACCTGAGCGCCTCCTCCACCACATCACAGCTCCAGCCACAGCTCCCAGCAGAACCAGGCCCCCAGCGATGCCCATGATGATGATGAAGGTCTGAGAAGGCCGCTCTGGGAGGAGAAGAGAAGGGCGGGTGAGGGCCCTGACCCCAAGACTCAGCCCCGACCCCACTGAGGTCCCCCAGGGCCCCTGCTGCCCTGAGAAGAGGCTCTGTGGGGAGGAGCACACAGCCCACACACCAGCCTGGATAGGAGCGGGGAGATAACCTCCCAATTCTTGTAAACACCCAGAACCAGGGCAGGACCCTAGGGTGGGAGTCTCCAGGTCTCTAGGGGGGACACAGACTAATGTCATCACTTAGTTGGAGGCTGAATGACTGGGAAGACCTGGAGTCAGGCGCCCAAACCTTTTGCAGTCCAAGATCCCGGGGAGCATAGTGGTCATTTCCGGGAGGGGCTGGATCTCTGGGTTGACCGTTAGTGAAAGGTGGGCTGGAGCGCGAGTCACTGAATAAGCTGCAGGACTCCTGTCCGACCAGGAGAGCCCATTCCGACAGGGATCCCATTTCCATCCTCTTCGTGGGAAGCCAGCCTCAACCTACAGATGCCCTGCTCCGGAGGCCTCACCCTGGTACCTGCTCGTCGAAGCATCTCCTTCCCATTTTCCAGGTAAACGTGGAGGTGGTGCACGCACCAGCTCTCCAAGGTGACCTTCCAAAAATCAGGATCAGGGGCAAAGACCAACTTGCGCCAGGTCATCTGAGCTGCCATGTCGGCCGCGGTCCAGGAGGTCAGGTCCTCGTTCAGGGCGAGGTAGTCGGCGCCGTCGTAGGCGTATTGACTGTGCCCGCGGAGGAGGCGCCCGTCCGACCCCACGACGCATCCTGTCATTTCCTGATAGGTGTGAGACCCTGACCCAGTCCCCAAGTCAGACTCATCCGCTCAGCCCCGCCCCCAGGCCAGAAACGCCCACTCAGCCCCGCCCCCAGGTCAGGCCCACCCGGACATCAGGTCCTCCCACCTGAAATCCAGTCATTGTCCCGGCGGGCTCCTCCTGGTCGGGGCTGAGAGGGTCCTGCAGCCTCGGGGTGTCGCTCGGACCCGGACCCTGGGGGCGACCCCGGCCTCGCGGCTCACCGTTCCCGCTCTGGTTGTAGTAGTCACGCAGGTTGTTCAGGTTCTCTCCGTGAGTTTGTGCCCAGTCCTTGATGACCTCCGTTTGCTCCTCCCAATAATCGGGGTACACCTGCTCCACCCACGGCTGCTGCATCCACGGGATCCGCGGCTCCAGCCTCGGACTCGCCGCGTCGTTGTCGAACCGCACGAACTCTATGTCGTCCACGTAGCCGACGGCGACATACCGGGACTTCCCGACGCCCGGTCCAGACAGGACGGTGCTGAAATACCTGAGGGAGTGGAGGCCTGGGGGGCGGACGGAGGGCAGGGCCAGGGCTGGACACGCCCC